CTGGGGGTCAGGGGCAGCCCAGCCCTCCACGCTGATGCCGGCCGCCTCCGCTCCACAGGGCCGCGACGTGGACCGGCCGCCTGCGCTGGCTGAGGAGCAGCTCCTGCTGCTGGCCTTCAGGATAAGGATGCGGCAGCTCTTCGACAAGCTGCGCGGGTGCTTAACCTTTCCTTCAAAYGAGCAGTGGGACAAGATGAAGCCTCCAGCGTACCTTAGCAGCCAGGCCTTGAAGATCACCCAGCTCTGCAAGACTTCGGACGTAAGCGAAGAGGTTCACAGGCTGGTGAGGGCTATAATAAATGGCCAGGTCTGAGCAGCCCTGTGTGTGGCCTTGCAGGAGGGCAAGCACTGCCCGCGAGATTAGCGCTGCTGCGGGCGCCGCGCTCGGCTGGCCCTTCTGCCGGGGACAGCCCCGCAGGATGAAGGAGCAGAGCTCCCAGGACAGGGCTGCTGCAAGGCAGCACCGCGGCCCTGCTCCCCTGCCAAGAGGGCGACAAAACCCCCCTGTAGCCCAAGGCAACAGGAAGTCACCAGCTCAGCTCAGCTCAGCTGCCGTCAGGTACCTGCTGGGGCAGCAGACCAGCAGTGCAGGTGCGGGGCAGCTGGCTGAGCCGCAGCCCCAGGCCCCGTGTCGCAGGAGCTGCCTCCCGCGCTGCAGGCAAAGGCTCTACTTGCTGCTCCCTCTGGCTTCCCTGCTGCRACGGGGCTGCCGGCCCTGGAGCCCCATGGGGCCAGAGGGTCCCCTCCCCAAGGCCACACATGGGCCAGCACTGAGGGCTTCGCTGAGCCCGTCCTGCACCACTGAGCCCATCCTGCACTGCAGCAGCCTGGCAGGGGACAACTGCTGCCTCTGCTGCACAGCACATACACGAGGGAGCTCTCCCTCGTTACTCGCCCCAAAAGACGTTGTCACCCTCCCTTCCTCGCTGCCCAAAGGCAGCTTCAGGTTCCCAGGACCCATCAAGCACATGTTAAACAACCTTCACCTTCCCTAGCTGTCCCACAGACCAGATCTTGAAGTTCACCGAGCTAGAAATTCAGCTTAAAGAAATACAGGAGGGGTTTTAAAGGACGCCTCGAAAACCCACTCTCCTAAAAACATTATTTCCTAACAAAAGAAGTTCCTTCCAACCTCAACCTTTCTATAGGTGTATATATYTATATACACATAAAAAGCTACCCTTCATCTAGCATATGGCATAAGGACCTCGCATTTTCCRAGATTTGAGACCTATACAAGTAACGGGTGCATCCTCAGTTATCCACCAAGTGCCAAACACTCCCCAGCGCTCCGGGCTCGAGCCCTGCGCACCAGGCACCACCTCCCCGCATCTCGCAGCGAAGGTGGGACACGCAGGACCCGCGGCCCCGAGCGGCCCGGCGCACGCACGGGTGTCTGCTGGCCCTGTGCTGCACCGCACCGCGCCGCAGAGCCGCCCCGCGCCGCACCGCAGAGCCGCCCTGCCAGCCCCGCACAGACAACCCGCGAGCAGGGGCCGGCACAGGAGGCTCCGCACACATCTTCAGCTGGGGTGCCAAGACTCTGATGACCACCCGGGACTCCAGGGACTTCACACAGTAAATGAGAACTCTTTATTTAAATTAATTTCCTTAGTTTATGTTTAGGACATTAGAAAGGCCTGGCTTTTCAACTCCTCAGACTGGTCTAGGAAAGGCCTCCTGAGCCGGCCAACACAACTTAAAAGCAGTTGGTCTTCATTTTTACTGACGTCACAAAATGATGTAATTACTCTGCATATAATTTTGTTCATATAATTTAGTATATAATGCACGTTCAACTCTGCCATATATTTTGAAAAATATACAAACCTGCTATAACCACATTAGAGATTTGATAGACAGCTGTCAATTATTTTACAATTTAGGACGATGAGACACTCCTATAATTCCATTTTGAACTACAAAAAGAACATAAATTCATATAAAATACAACAGATTAAACAAACTTTTTCCAAGGAAAAAATCAGATATCAACTCAATCTGCCATTGTGTGAAACATGAATATAAAATAAGTTACAATTAGTAATGCCTGCATTGTCGAGCTATGAACTGGTCGGATGAAATCTTAAAAAAACTATACAGTATTATTGCACTCCGTGACCGTGCAGTATCGGGAAGGCGCCAGCACTGAGCGGGGTCTTTCATTAAGCTTTTCCGGGGCGCAGCGCGGCCGCGGCGGAGCATCCAGTCTGCACCAACAGCGGGCTGTCTTCGGCACAGGCCTTCATGGGCGCGGGCCGCGCTGCCCTGGGAGCGCCGCTTAATGCCTGCAAAGGGGAAGGCAGCGTGAGGGGCGGCCGCTCGGGACCCCGCGCGGTTCCCCGGCCGCCGCTCCCCAGAATACTACACTGAAATAAGRAGACAGGAGGCAAAAGCGTTACGCTTCACTATCACCTTCCTAACATGCTGTATTCATTCCATAAAGAGAGTAATCAACAGAGCTTCCTTTTTTAAATATATATCCAGTTAAAAAAAAAAAAATCAACATAGTAACGATCTTGGCATGTTTTACAAGCTTAAAAATTATGCCACYACATCTGCAAGCCATAATCTCCTTTCCTGCACAAAACACGTTCTTGAGTTCTCCTCTCCTAAAGGACCCTGGGCTTCAGGCATCATCTCTGCAAAGTACAGGACACAACTAGTTTTATGAAACAACTCACCTGATGGCTAAGATGACTTTTGCTGAATTAAAGCAATCAAAAGTCAATGGTTTCTCCTGCTCTCTGCACTCATACTTGAAGGTGGCAAGGGCTCCGATTCGGGTGTGAGGATTAGCAGAGGGCTAATCTGCACAGGGCAGGAACGTGGGTGCCAAGTCCAGGCGCAGAAGCCAAGAAAGGGCAGAGAGGAGCCCTGCTGGAGTGTGGCTTCCTGCGAGGGGTGAACCCCCCGATCTGACTGTACCCCTCAGCRTTCCTCTCTGTGCCATGCTGGTGGTTGCAGAGCTGGATGACACCACACAGAGCTGCAGGGCTCGTCAGCTGCCACACGACCAGCTCAGCTGGGGAGCCAAGCTGCGTGGTGGCCGTGGGCAGAAGCGGCAGCGCACGCTCTGTCACTCGAGGCTGCTCCGTGCACACACAGTGCCAGACGTTCACAGCCTCTCAAACCAAAGGGTTCTTGTGCAAAAGAACTGCCACGTGAGTGAAGCACTGTGCTGCTTTCGCACCCAGCTGGTCAGCTGCTACCACATGAAAGTTCCTACAAAGGACTGTAAGCCAAATGCTTCAGAAGCCACATCTGACTGAAGAATGCGGGACTGGCTCAGCACTTTAAGCCTAAAAGCCCGGAAGAATATTTGCAGAAGGTTAAGGCAGCACAGCACACATGGATACACCAGAGGCTGGGAAGCAGGAAAATGTGTTCTAATTTCTAGGGTCATAAAATTCACACAGTGCACATTACAGAGGAAACCTTTGCACTTTGAATATTCTAAAGCATGTAATGAAATATGTATTCTGAGCTCTGAATAACCCGGTTGCTTAAATTTTTACTTACGCTTCCTGCACACACAAATACATTTTTTTTTCCCTAGTTGGAAGAAAAACAGCTTCCAGTTTTGAAAGAGGTAAGCACACACAAAAACCTGCACACCTAACTCAGAACTTCTCATCAAAACAGTAACTGCAAAATCACGTAAGTCAGTTTACTGGAAGTTCCTAGAGTGGTGAGATTTATTTTTTTTTGGGGGGGGGAGGGGAGGGGGCGGGATAAAGTAGTTTATAAATGGGAACTGGTTCATCAAAAGCAGGCTCAATCCCTACCATGTGGTCTTTTACACGAGTCACCAGGCAGCCAGTGGCTGTAAAGACACTTACAAGAAGTTTCAGTGCTGATAGATGGGGCTATGATCGATGGTGAGGCATTGACTCCATATGCACATTGAGCTTCATTTCGTTATCCAGAATTTGTACAAGCTGCTGCATGGAAGGAAGGTGGCCAGACTCCAGCTTAGACCACACTGGAACATCTAGCACAAAGCACACAATTACATGGCACGGTAAGAAAACACACAGGGCTAGTTAAATGTAAAAAATCTAGCAAGCTAAGCAAGCTGGCACCGTTTCATACCCATGTACCCTGACCCAACACCGCGTCAGGCCTCAATGCACTCAAACACCCTCCAACTAAGAACAGCCTAACGCTTCCCTTTAGAAGTATACCTTAAGGATTTACAGACCCAAAATACCCATTCCTACTAATAGAATGYCTAAAATTAGACTAATGAGTGACAGGATAATGTACTAGGTTTCTAAACTGTAGCTATTTGCTCAGTTTTGGCCAGCTTTTAAGGCTAAACAGGCCTGTTAAGATCTGGCTTTGAAAGTTCCACTTTAGTTTAATTGCAAGTGTTTCTGAGGAGGAACGTAAGGTTCAGCACAGCCAGTAATACTTCCAGGCAAGCACAACTTTAATTTCTGATGTTGTTGTGAACTTATTTCCTGACCCGCAGCACTTCCCAATCCCACAGCAAAAAACAAAATTGTGACTATCTGATAAAAGAGAACCTCACTGTCCCAAAAGCTCAATGGGAGCWTTATTAAACATAATCCCTACGGAAACTCTGCTACCAATCCTAATCTGAGATTTAGGACTACAAATCCATCGAATTCAACTACTTTGAGGCAAAACAGCCAGTCTTTAAAAAGATCCTGGAGTTTAAGACTTGACTTAGAAACCAATAGGCTGAAATGCAGCCTGCACAGTTATAAACTGAAAAATAAACCGTAATTGCAGTAGGTACTTGTAAACTCACTTTTAAAATGATTATATTTGAAGACCTAGTTATTTGAAGGCCTAAATTAAAGAAGAAGGTCCACAGACTCCTAACTCAGAAGRAAAAAAAAGTACTGCTGTCTATGGGCATTAAAAATCTGGTAATGGCCACAGATCAAGTCTTAACCACACTAAAAACAGAACAGATAAAGCATGTAATGAACTGGGGGGAAGTTTCCCTGGTTGTTCATTTCTTCATTCATGTTCACCACATATGAAAAAAGAACATTCCAAGTATTCCAAGTTATTCCATACAGCCAGCATTCCCCTAAATATAAGCTTTGTATTTACGTTTATTTTTTAGAATTGCTCTACAGAGTTTAGATGAACTGCTTTGTAAGGCTTCCACCTTTTTTCTGGTTTGTGCTAGCACCTGAAGTTTCAGAACCGGGCGCAGACACCCCACAGCCCCACCGAGACGTTTCACATGACCGTGCTCGCGCTCCGGCACCGGTGCCGTCCCACGGCCCTCGCAGCCCCGCACACATCCCACTWATGGAAAGCTCGGGACTCACCATTGAAAGTTATTTCGAATGCGCCTGTTGACATACACTGGTTCTCAATCATGTTGCTCAGGAAGAAAACCATCATACAAGCATAAACCTAGAAGAGAACGGYGAGAACCTCAGACACTTTGGCTTCGTAAACTACAGCTTATTTTAGATACTCTTAATTTCTGATGGTTTACAAGTACCTTCATATTCTTCCTTTACTCCTTACCAAGCAAGTTTAAAGGGGCACTGACACCTTCCTTTCACACCCTTTTAAAAACAATACCCACACTTTTTTTTTTCTGCTCAAATTAGTTCTGAAACCACTTCAGCTCATAATTGAGACTCAGCGAGTGCAGCTGCACCTTCCCCCTTCCTTCCTCCACAGATCCAAGCACATCCAAACAGGAGTGAGCAAAAGGAGTGCACRGCGAACGTGGCACTTGCAGGAGGACAAAGGAACCACTCCTGCATGTGATCTCTTTTGGGTAGTGCTTCAGATGGGGAAACACAGACTCGGACAGAAACAGCAGAGCGAGTCAAGTTGTATCTGTCCAGCACAACTGCCAACTCTGGGAGCAATTCTTCAAGACAACCACCTGGAGATTCGTTTTTGTCTAGAGGCCTCAGGATGAGGTGGGGGATGAGCCTCATTCTGTGGCTGCTACGCACGTAAATCACTCACTTGTCATGCACAGGGGCACATTGCCACTGGCTGCCACAATGCCCAAGAACTTAGCGCACAAAGTCACTGCTGGCTTAGAGCATCACAGAACTTTAGTCAGATGTGCCACAGACAGCTGAGTTCAGCGCTACATGTGGACCCTTTAACTAAGAAAGGCATATTCCCCAGAATGGTTTCTATACATTCAAAGAGATTCATTGCACTGAATAGTTCTGGACTTACGCACCAGTAAGATATATGTAACAGTTCATATATCTAAAAATAAATCTGGAATAAGATTACAGAGTACAATGGCATGAATGTGTCAGCATCAACAGTACTGATTCGGAGCAACATTAACCCCATAAGATGCAAAGCCCCTCATGCCCGAAGCCTGCAAAATTTCAGTAAGATTTTTCAAATCACCATCAAATAGCGTGTCTAAACAGTTATAAATCTCATGAAAGCAACAACTGCAAAACAGTCCTGAGTCAACAGTAGAAGGAAGCCATGATTTTAAAACCAGTAAAACCATCTTTGGGTTGCAAACATTTCACTTCTTAGTGAGAGGAGCATCTCCCGGGCAGGCAGCACTGGGCACCCCTGCCCGTCACCTGCTCCAGGTTCTCAGCAACCCTCCAGAGCGCCCTACGGAGCCATTCCACAATGACCGGTCCAAAATTAAGAAAGCAAGTCTCTTACCTTATTTTCTTGGCCCCACTGCCAGATGCTCGGAGCTTGCATGCCAAAGAAAGCAAATGGATCCTTGCCAACAATTATTAAGCCTATTAACACCAGTTTGAAGACRGACAGGAAGGATGCTATGTGCCTGTCGAAAGACAAAACACGGAAGTCCCTTAGGCAGTTCTTAAGTTACTACTCCACCACTTAGAACCATTTTGATCACGTTTCATTAAGTACTTTGCAGGAAACAAAACTTTTTAAGTAAATTTATTTGCCTGTAAGAATATCTGTGTAATATCTGTGTAATAATATATAAGAATATTCCCCCAAAATCAAAACGCTAACAAAAACATGCCCCCTCAGAAGAAAACCGCTGTAACATATCACACATGCAGATCTATTCTTTCTCTCTCAGCAGACCTCAAATTGAGATTTGCTTTCAGTTTTTACACTTGTCCAAATCAGACAGTACATTTAGCTTCTTAAAGAAGCTSTTCCAGATTATAGAGGCATATTTAGCTGACATTCACCACTTCCTCTCAAAACGTGCTGCGAGCAAGTGCCCCAACCCTACAGCTCTCACTGCGGATTAAGCATTTAACCACACAGCAAATTAACACTGAGGTATTCAGTCCCCGGCATTCACYCTCAACGCTGTAATTACTGCAGTAATTAGGTTGAGAAGTGGTTCAGAAGGTGCTTCTGCAACTATGGCATCACTCCCCAGCAGGTAAACAAGGCTAACGGGAGCACTATCCTAGCGCTGCCTTTTCCCGGCCTTCTGCTGGGCACGTGGCTCCCTCCCGTCCCCAAACCTTGGTTAAGGGAATCCCATCAATCTCTCCAGGGAAGCTGGCCTGCTCCCACTTTAATGCTAAAAACAAATTCTTCTCTCCCCTGTAGCCTTAACAGATTACAGGAATGGGTCTCTAAGTACACAGATCTGAGCAACAAGAGTAGCAAAGGCAAATTTGTGTCCAGACATCAAGGCGTAAAGGGGGAAATTCACTGTGGAAAAATGTGAATTATGTAATTCACTTCCAATTGCCTGGAAACACAGCAGGCCTCATCACACAGATAGCTGCATTAAGTTTCCATAGAAATACCACCATCTGGAGCAGCGGGATGCTCCAGTGCTGCAGGCAATCGCAACGGGGGAGGCCGGCCCGGGATTTCCTACAGGGCTGCGGGAGGCGGCTGCGCGGCTCACCTGTAGATGGGCTGCGGAAGGTAGTTCTCGCCCTCGATGCGGATGTCTGGGTACCGCTGGCTGATGACCCGCATGTACTCCTCGAACACCCGCCGGTACCCTCAGGAGACGCTGGCACAGAGAGGGGCCGTGAYGGGGTGTGACGGGGTGGTCGGGTCCAGGGGCCGCCGTGGCCCACGGGGTCCGTTCCCACGTGCCTCCCGCGCATACCCCCTGCACGAAGCCCRCCCCGCACGGAATCACTCTCTTCCCAAGTGAAGAACGGATAACGTTATWGCGCAAGAACAAGTACTACCTCGCCCTGCAGCGGCCCCCGCACAGAGAACCCCCCCGCAGGGCAGCTCCGCAGCTCCTCCCCGCCGCGGGGCTGGTTTAACCAACCCCGCGGCCTCGCGAGGCGCAGCSTTCAGCGACGTCTCGCTGGGGTGACTCGAGAGCCGCGCCGCGGTTCGGCATTGCGGGGCTGCCCTGCGGCTCGCGCGCCCCCGCAGCGGGGGGGGCTGCCTCCCGCCTCCCCGCCCCCCCGGGCCGCCATGTTGGCGCGCTCACCAGATCTGGAACTTGAGCAGCGGCCCGGTGGCGTAGGCCATGCGCAGCTTCTTGGCGGGCAGCGCGCCCTGC